TCCCGATGGAGATTGTGTCCTTAAAGTGAGACGAACCTATGCTGAAAAACCGCAAAGCACTGTACAGCTTTTTAATCGTGTCTGAGTGCAATGCCTCGCCATCTTGCGACCATAGTTTATTTGAAAGATTTACTGTGAAGCAACGGATAAACGTGGATAGAGAGAGACTTATTGCTAGCGTACTTACACTTTTAGGCAGTCATTCAGACAGTCTGTATAGAAACTGACGACTGAAACACCGCTGTCATCGATTCGCATCCATATCCTGTAGCGTCGCCAACAAGACATAGTTGGGATCAGGCAGTCCCCAGCCTGAAAGGCGAGGCTCAATGACAGTGCCCAGAATTTTCGTAATATCTTTCATGTTCAAGGGTTTATCACCTTTCTGTTTGTGCCACAGGGCTTGGGGAAGAATACTGTGTTCAAAAGACGATGCTTCGGCGCTTGTAGTACATGGCCTAAATCTTTAAAAAGCTATCCGCATACTAAGCATTGTATTTACAATATTTGTAAAAAGCAACCATTTTCATTTTTACCTAGACTGAGGGAGTGCTCGGTTCCCATACCAGTACCGAGTGGAGTTATCTACTGACTGCTGGTGAAGGCCAGTCGGTAGACGTCAGCAAAGGCAAACATCAATCGGATCACCTAAAAGGTTGCGGAGTTATTCATTTGCTACATTATGGACTCTTCTTGAGTGGTTATACAGTCATTTGACTTTTTCAAATTCTACTTTTTGCTTGACGAACGCAACGATGTTGTGTCAAACTCATGTCATTTCAAAATTTATATCCACGGCCACAGCTCTCCCACAGAAATGTCAGGTTTCTAATTAAGAGGGACTTACAATAAAATGGGAATATATTACTCTTTTTAGTAACTTTTATTCTATACGAGAAGAATAGAACCTACTTCTACAACGCAACAGAAATATTTAACAAGCTTCGAAATTCCAACGTTTTATTCAGAATTATTATTATTATTATTATTATTATTATTATTATTATTTACCATCAAATAATCTAAGATCACACTCGTATATTAAGAAGTTTGGCGTAATTCGTGCCCTTTCGTATTCTTGGGCATCACATTTCAATAAATACGAAATCCACTTTGATTGACAACCCAGCTTCACTTTGCTCACCTTGCGTGGTACACCTTCGCCTCACTGACTGTGAACAGCATAACGCAGAGAACGGTCGCTAATTCTGTGGCATAACGCGCTCGGTCGATTTTATTGCAGTTGCGTGTTCAGCATTGATTCTGTTTCCGGTTTCCGGTTCATTAACTTGTCCTCTCACGTACGTAAGAAATACAATACATAGTGCTCTCCAAACTCATTTGTTAGAATCAATTTGGACAGCCTTAAGTCCCAATCTATACCCAGCACATCCGTACATATAATGTATTGGTACCGGACATTGTTCATTCTCTGAAATAAATGATCTAACTGTAAATCTTTAGCAAACCATCCGCATATTAAGCGTTGTGGTTACAACTTTCATAAAAAGCAGTCATTCTCTCTATTTACCTAGACCTAGGAAGTGTTCGGTTCCCACACCAATACTTCAAATCAAAGTGGATAGGACAGTATTAGTTTTCCGACCTTCGTAGTAACAGCGCTTGCTAAGCTCAGTATCTAAAGAACAGTGGCAGAGAATGCCACGCTTAATATTCCTGATGGTACCTCTACTGATTCATCAAGCGGACGTTGATCTATTCAAAAACATCCAGTCCATAATAGGCGAAGAAAATGATGGAAAGCTGATATCCCTAAGCGTTCTCATCACAGGATTGCCAAATGAACAAGTGAAGACCAAAGTCTACTGAAAAACGATGCACAACTATTTTCCAGCTACCGTAGCAGTCAGCTGAACTGCTACAAGCAAAGGGTGTGACGGGTAATGGGCGTTACATCACCAATGTCGTCACTGAGAGTAACACCAGATGGGAACACCTGTGCATCGGTACGGTAAGACCTATAATCGAAAAGGAAAAGAATTGGAGAGAAAGATCCGAGGTGCCCACACCTACAACACTCTGTCAGACTATCTGGACAGAAACTGACAGCATGACTGCCACTGACACCGGTTAGCCACCATATCTTCCAGTGTCTCCAGCCAAACATTGGGAGGGTCATATGCACCCATCCTGGAAGGCGAACAGCACCAACGGCACCCAGGTATTTCGTAATCCCATTCTTCCCCTTCAGCCACGTCAAATTATGTCCACCTCTAGATCTCCGCCTCTCCAAATCAGGCAGGGAAAACAGCGCTCGTCTCGGCGGGCGATGACTTGACTTGCAGAAAGCATGGCTCAGCCAACTTGGCATGCACTGCTTGATACATTCTTCAAGGGGAGTACCCTCTTCTTCAACAAAACCCGGCTCCTAATTACATCGTTCCGAATTAGCTGGTTCCAACCGATTCCCGCCATACTCCTAATGCATTGGTTGTGAAAGGTCGGAAGATATCTCAGGTTCTCCGCCCGAAAGTGAACAAGCCTCGCAGCCATACAACAGTGCAACCCACAATTTGGGCTAAAACACATGTCGCTTTGGGACCATATGATATGCTTAGTTGATCCCACGAGTAGAATAAATTAGAAAAATCGTTTCTGTCCTTTTGGAATCAGCTTCATCCCACTACTGTCAGAGCTATTGCAACTTCCAAGATACGTATGGTTTTCAACAACCTCCAATGTCACCCCTTGAACCCTAAGGGGCATGTTTAGAGGCTCACATCATGCAGCATGCCTTTGCACTTTGTAGAAGGACCGGATAACAATGTTCAGCTTTTCCATAAAGGCTTGCGCATTCTGCTTTTTCTAAAAAAAATGAGAACGCCGTATGCGTAATTCAGGCTGACCTGGTTCTCGCTAGGACAGATCTGAACACCAAGCTTTTGGAAACGCTCCAGTAGTCGCCTAGTTATCCGATCAACAACGGTATTAGACGATGGAGAAAGTGGGCATCCTTGTCGGACACTACTGTTTGTAGGGAAGCTTTTAGATAGCTTATCATGTACTTTCGCGCCCCTAAAAGTACGTGAGTACCTACAGCACATAAGATTCACGAACTTTTGGGATACACCCATTCGCACAAGCGCGCTTAATAGAACTAACCGGTTAATAGAATCGAAGGCACACTTGAGTTCAAGGAACACCAAAATTGTAGAATGCCCATACGCATGTGGTAACTTCAACACTTGACGGATTGTGAAAGTGTGGTCCACGCAGCCCTTTCTAGGCCGGACCACTACTTGATGTTCTCGGGTCCTCTGTTCATGCGCACTCTTAAGACAACATAAAATAAGCGTTATAAGGGGATCAAGCTAATTACGCTCTAATTATCACACTCACAGCGAGCATTGTTTCAAAAACAGGCACCACTATTGACTGACTTCAGTTAGTTGGGACGTTCTTCTTCTCTCAGACAAAGGTAGTAAGTTACACAAGCACCAACTGGGGATGTCATCTTCATCTCTAAACAGAGTGGTGGGACTAAGTCTGGGCTGGTAGTTCGGTGAGGCTTGGTACACACAGGGCCCTCGCTTATGTCGGAAGCCGCGGGGCCTCCGAATTCACTATCCATGGCTGCGTTGCCGGCTGAGAAATTAACTGAGCAACTGCTAGTGACCTGTAGAATTGGTTTCCAAGGTGCTCAGCTCAGCAATTCAGGTGCCACTCATTTTCACAAATAAGCGAACCACTGCTGTCAGAGATTGTTTCGCTCACCAGAGGCTTCTTTGCTCCCGCTGCATGTATCAGCTGGGACAGTTTCCGCACATTCTGAGTTTGTCTTCTCTTCCTCCATCTCGGCTTTCCGAATTCATCTAGCTGCTTGATTTGCACAGATGCTCTTTCTTACCTGAAGTCTGCTTGCTGTCCAAATGCTAGTGTACTCTAGACCAGGAGAAATGTGTCCAAGCCTCGAGCGGTTTCAGCAAGTCGCTCGAGGTCTAGTTTCGAAGTCTGGTCAGTTGGGCCATTCCGCAAGTAGAGCACCCACCATCCAGCATGGTATCAAAGTTACTTTCTAGTAAGGGTCAACCTTAGAAGGAGTGTTGCCCGGAAGGAACTTCAGTAGGTGGTTCCGGTGAGCTTGTTTCACATCATGGTCAGAGAGCTTTTCGATGGACCGGCAAAGTGTGTGCTTCTTGCGCGTCGCTAAACAGAGCAACAAGAAGCGGCAACAAAAAAGCGTGTAATCCATAAAAGGCGGTAAATATCCACGGCTAATTGCACTGTGGTCTAGCTGAGATACAGGCCAATTTCAGTGTGACCAAAGGGCTTCGGTGGCTTCGAAGGTTAGAAGCAGTGTGTGGGCAGGACGCAACTGCGGCGGGCATTCGCTGTTGTCTCTGCGTCTCGATTCTAGATCTATACGACCACCCAAATGAGCCCCAGGAGCACTAATTCTACCTATCTGACCACCTATACCCGGGGAAACCACTACAATATCTGAGCCCTTAAACCATCAGAAGCCTCGTAAAAACTGTCTTTTTGTGAATCGTCGTGCAGTCTGTTGGGGTGTAAGCAGATCTGGTGAACAGGCAACGATTAGTTGCGCGTTTGAGGGACGCCATCAAAGGCGTTAACAAACGGACCACACAGGGGTGACTATCAAATGACAACCATTCGACCAGAGATCCTTCAGCTCAGTGGTTTAGAGCAACATCAACCCCAGCAGAACCAACAGCAGCGGTTTCCAAGGGTGATACTGCATTGCACGCAATTGGAGCTTTTGGAGAAAAGAGCCAAAGCACAATATGCGCAGTGAACTAGATTCGCTTACTCTACATTCACAACACCAGCGAGTGAAGATGCCTTCAAAGTTATAGCTTGTTTTACAAACCAGTAAAAAGCTGTAATTTAAGCTTCGGTTCATCTGCCGCTTAATCTGGTTCGACTATTTGGGCACTGAGCTACTCTGGTTGTCGTCCATTTGTAGTTTGTATAGGTGCTAATGCTGGCTTGGTCAAGCTGGAGAACTAATTTAGCAACTGATTCGCAAACCAACTGCCAAGCTCGGTGAACAGATCATCAGCCACCTGATCGATTACCAACTAGTGAACTGGAGCTACCAACACTCCAGCAAATTACCAACAATATTTTATTTCAAGATCTCCTATTTCCTTGTTTTCTTTCAAAACTCCCGAATGAGCAATCTGAGTTCTTTGGTCGACTAATACATATCCACATTATTTTCTTTTCAACCCACAGGATACAGCAAGCAGCTGGTGCCAGTAGCAAAAATGCTGTCTCTTGACGGCTACGCTACCTAGCTGGCTTCTATCTGCCACCGTTCATTGGTGTTATATTGCGTAAGGTTCGTAAAGTGTCCTGAGTCAGTCGCCTCAACTGCGTCCTACTCAATCACGATGAACATATGTCTTTAGGTTTTAGATGGAAATGATCCCCTGATCGCGTTCCACAGGGACAGGAATGTTTTGTCCAATTAGCCTCTATTCCACTCCTTCCTCTTCACTGTTTGCTAGAGCTTATGTATTTGCTCGTGTAACTGTTCTTACTACTGCCATACTACTCAAATGGCGGTTATGATTGTTTGATTCAAACTGGAGCTGAAAGTAACTCAACCCATTTTTATCAAAGAAAGTTACAAAACAGCAGCTCATGGAGAAAAAGTTTACAAGTCTGAGAATTGAGAATAAGCAAAATGCTTCCCTAATCACGTTGGTGCTAAACGTACACTAAGAAATAATAGGAGTCCGGCACAGCTGATCGCGGCCACAATGCATCCTGTCGACATGCTGTGAATCGTCTACCAACAGCGCACATCCGTTCTGCATTGTCCGATTCTAAAATCCCAACCAACAACGAGATCGGCCATAGACTACAAAGGAAACTTGTATAAGGAACTACTTGAAGGTAACATGTTGGTTCGATGGAAACAATTTGACAGCCCCCAACCTGTTCCACTGTCGTTGGGGCTCATCAGAAACCCGCAGTCCCTGAGTTCCCCCAACCCTATGTTCTAGCTGAACCCACATAAGACAGATTATGTCGAATACACCGATTTGCATGCGAATTTAGTTGTGACAGAAGACCCAACTGATTCTCGTTTGTGATGGTCTAATTCAGTGGTGCATCAGGCTACCTAATGTTTCGGGTCTGGATTAATTTGAAGGACTGCACCGACTGTGTTTGCAAGATTGCGTGCACCATGCAAACTAGTGGGCAAAAAAATGTTCGGATAAACGAACAGAAGCTACGTTCAGATTGCACCAGGAAAAGTCAATGAACCAAACGGTTCGAAACGGAATTGAGCCATCTCAGTTCAAGTACTCGCCGAAGGTAGTTAAGTCAACTTTGATCATGTGCACATCCCACTCCGAATCTGTGACCGTTGGCAGTATATCGTGCGCCAACAGTTCTGACAGTGTTCTGCCCTCTGGCCAGCTTGTCACATCACGCTAAGTCAAATCAGGTAAGACAACCCGCACGTGGCCTGACATTTCAATCCCAGGGTCGACGGTTGTCAGTTGTACACGCACATCACAGCCCCGCGACAACTTTTGTTTGGTCATTTGATTTTGACCGTTTTTTAACTTG